TAATTACTCGCTAATTATAATTAATCACAAAGCAGCAATTAATTTCAATTGACAAATTAATAATATTAAATATTTAATTAATTAAACTCATTTAGGAAAGCATGATATCAATGAAATGAATAAAGAGTGGGTAGATAATATTTTATTATAAAACTAAATTTATGTGTTAGGTGTTATTTTAATAAATGGTGATACTGTAATTTTGATATTTAAGTAATACTCGAATATGACTAATTCGTAATCATGTAATATGATTAGTAACTAATGTTATTTAGTTATCGAATCAGAATTCAGCAGGGATATTATTTTTAGGTTAAAAAATAATAATTTTAGGACGAACGGAAATCTCAAAATTCTCCATAGAAAAAAGTGTTAAACAGATTAAAATTTATTTTCAAGTATGAACTTTAAAATAATATCACACAATTGTGAATATTTGAGAAATCCCAAAATTCTCCATAGAAAAAAGTGTTAAACAGATTAAAATTTATTTTCAAGTATGAACTTTAAAATAATATCACACAATTGTGAATATTTGAGAAATTATTATCATGTATAACTTATGATAAGAATATTCGCATATTACTAGTTTTGAAAACATACACGTGTAAACCAAAAAGGGTGGAAGCAAAATGGCAGAATGTTATCATATATCAAATATAAATAAGTCATATAGATGTACATATATTTAAAAAAATAATATACATCCAAGAAATATGTGTACAGTAATATGATGCTTGTTAAGTATCTCAACCAGATATATAGACGATTCAATTATTTACTTTAACGAATTGAATAAATAATTTAAAATTCAAGTAATTAAGAAATTATCTATTAATTACTTTCAATACGATATATTTTTTTTAATTATAAAATAATAATTTAGTACAGACAGGAATCTTGAAATGTAGTATATTAAAGAAAAAATGTATTATAAAAAAAAGTTTTTAACTATAACGCTCGTTTAAGACAATGTCATATGTTTTATGTTGTGAAATCATAACCATAAATTACTAATTTATAGTTCCATGTAAATTCACAAGATGAAAAAAGTTAGTATTTAATTCATGTGAAGAAAATTCACACATTAATAGTTTTAAAAACACACCCGTGCAAAACAAACAGGGTGGGAATTCATCATGAAAATATCATCAAACATTTAAATCTTATGATTATGAGTAGCTAATTTAATGAATGGTACAAACAACTTAAAATTCAAGTAAGTAAGTAATTATTACTTTAATAACAAGTTAATGTAGCTGGGATGCAATTATTTTTTATTTTAAAATACATTCTCAGCATGGAAAGAAATCTTAAAATGGAAATTATAAGGAAAAAAAAAGTTTTGAATAGATTTAAAAAATAAAATGTAGAATTTTATAAAATAAAATCTACTATAAAAAAAAATCCACATTCTTGTCATAAATTACTAATTTATGATTCTATGTAAATAACATGAGAAAAAAAAACTGGAAGATTTAATTTATGTGAGGAATATACCGCTTTTATTAATTTTAAAAACAAACAAATTAAAAAAAAAGGAATGGTGTGAGTCTGAAAATATTATCATATATTTAAATATTTTAAATTTAAAGGACTAATTGTATTGTCTTGTAGAAATATTTAAAAAATAATTCGCACGATATTGGATAACTAAAAGAAGTAACTTTGTGACTAATGAATTTTTTTTGAAAAATGTCACATGTTTGTAAAATGTTGTGAAATTCTTATTTATCATAAATTGTTAATTTATAATCCTGTATAAATTTATATGCTAAATTAATTTACGTTTGTAAAAGTTAATTTTCGTGAAGAATATTCGCATATTATTAGTTTTGAAAACATACACGTGCAAAACAAAAAGGGATGGGGATTGAGCGAGAAAAGGCATATATTTAAATATAATGAACTTAAAGAATTTACAAGTGTGTTAAAAATATTTTTTTTAAATATTACACGTAATATTGTTATATGCGCAGTTATATTACATTTGTCAAGTGTACACGATTTGGTCCAGGTATCTGAATAAGTTAAATAAGTTGATGAATTTTATTGATAATTTAAAATTGGAGTATTTTAGTAAATGTGTTAATTTATGACATGAGGTCATATAATGTCATAGCACGAAACCGATGTCAACACCGATGGAACAAATATTTATTTATTTTTAAACAGAATGGGTTGTATTTAATATAAAAATGAATATATAATTAATGATAAGGCATACAAATAATACATTATATAATAAATAAATACTTCGTATGATAGAGACAGGAGAGGACGCAGTACTTACCCCCGTGATGGCGAAGGACGGACTGTGGGTGACTCAGAGAGCCTACGTCATCAACTGGCTCGCGCCTGCCCGAGTGACGTCACCGTTCGATATCGCTCAGTCTCTCTCTTCGCTTTTTGTCTTTGTTGATGTCTCCTCCTTCCATGGACCAGATACCTCGCGAGCGACGGAGGAACGGCGAAGAATTCGCGACACGAATATTACAAAAAAACAAAAACAAAAACCGACATAAATATTATATCAACGATCCACAAAAATATTTACATAACTGAAACCGTGAATATCTTTGGCATGGTAACGAAATGAAAAAAAATATTATATTCTACAACTCTACAGTCTCCTAAGAATAGAATAATAACAGAGTAACATATTTATGAGACTTAATCTGGCTTAGAAGAATACAAACTAATAAACTGTTGATTGTAAATGCAATTTTGTAGTTGATCGAATTCAATTTTACATATTTGCAGATGGAACCCCCACACCAGACTGAAACGACTAGAAACCGCCCGACGTTTTCGACTACTGCAGCACTTAATAGACAAACGCTCTAAGCCTTCAATCAATCACAAACGACTCATATATATGACAATAATAAGACCTATTTGGACTTATGGAATTGAGCTTTGGGGCTCCACTAATCTTACAATCCAAAAGCCTTTGTAAAATCCTCAACGCTTCTTATTTTGTCATAAATAAATAAAATCATCCATAAAGACCTTAATGTTCCTTATGTTTCCGATTTGCCCCAATCCGGATACCTATCCTTCCATAAGAAGCTGCAGAACCATCCGAATCCTCTCGTTTACATTTCATGTTAACAATGTTACATTTACTTATTGTATTTTCCATGCAATACAATTGTAAATTTCAATAAAAAAAAAAAACATGTTTGCAGAAGTTTGAATAAGAAGTTGTTGGTGGAACAGGAGTTGATTGAAGAAATTTGTGGACGAGGATTGACATATGGATGTAGGTAAAGGGTTCCAAAATGTGATAGTACAAACGAGTTAGGATATGCTGAAGGAAGTAGTTTTATAGGAGGAGATATGTAAACCTATAGGCTGAGTCTGGAATTGAGGGAGTGGAGAGAAGGATGTAGAGTAAGGAGTTCCAGAATGTAGGGAGGATTTTTTGGTTCTGAGGACTTGAAAAAGGAAAAGACCAAGGAGGAATTGTGGTCGAGTAGTAGGATAGAGTCACTTCAGCTCAGTTTACCAGAATGAAAAATGAAAACGCCTGGGGATCTCAAAAACGTATCTGATGAAACACTTCATAAGTTTCTTAGCACTCCATACACCAATGGTATGATCTCCTATACAGGAATGGATATATAATGTGGTAATAAGTCAATACAATTATTCTTTATGAATCTCATTGTGGAAATATGTTATCATTCTACCATAAATGTTTAGTAGTAACTCTTTTTTTTAAGACCCATCTATAAAATGTTTGTTTGATCAATGACTTTGATTGAAATTTTGAAAGGAGTTCTCCAAGATTCAATATTGTACTCTCTACATTATATTGCATACCCTTACAATAGAACATAGCTGTTAAATATGAGATATTGATGGCTCCAGATGAAACTTATTCTGATGATAACATTCTCAAAAATCAGTGACATACAACATACTCAAACTATACAACATCATATACTTAAAATACAGAAGTGTTTCAAACTATGATAAATCCAAAAATATAACATTTACTCTTAAAACAAATAACTGCCTTCGAATTTATAATAACAACAACTAAATTCCTCAAACGGGCACGGTAACTATTTTGAGCAAAAGAATGTTATTGGAGGAACATAAAACCGGTAAAACCCGCTAAAAAAATTTTCGAAGCACCAAAATTTTGACTAAAATTTAAACTTACTCCTATCATCTTCCCGTTGAAAACACAACATATTTATACACGAATTGCATCTTATTAGACTTATTATATGTCAAAGATAAGATAAAGGTTCTAAATGTATGTTTTACGAGTTTTATATTAATGTTTTTTTTGCCCTCCTCCCCACAACCTCTTATACAGTGCTATTATATGTTATTTTCACGTGCAAGTTATTCGTACTATTGGTTGGTCTATGAGAAAATGTTTTTGGTATTTTTTGGGGTGTGTGTAAGTGTTATTGTTTTAGTTGTGGGAGGGTGTGGTAAGTGTGGTAAGTGTGAAGGGTAAGGTGTGGGGAAGGTTTTGTTTAGTTTGTTAATTGCGAGTTTGATTTTTTTGGTTATTTGTGTGTTTTGGGTTTGGTTGGTTTGGTGTGAATAAGGGTAGGCTTGGAGGGATTTGTGTATGAAGTGGGCGGGTGGGTGTGTGTAGGAATTGGCGGGGGGCGTTTTGTGCGGGTGGGTTGAGTGATGGGGGGGTGTGTGGGGGGGTGGGTGGGGTGGGTGGGGGGTGTTTAGGCTGTAGGGGTGGCGGGGTTGACGGTGTTTGGATGGGGGGGTGGGGGTGTGTGGGGGTTAAGGGTGGTTGTGTTGGTCGGGTTGTGGTTTTAGTGGTAGAGAAGAGTGGGGGGGGATGGGGATGGGGGTAGTTGGACGTGGGGTATTGTAGGGTGTTTGGGGGGTGGTATGAGGTGTGAGGGGTGAGGTAGTGAGGGGGTGGGGTGTGGGGGATGGAATGTATGTGGGGTGTGTGTTGTTGGGTGAGGGGGGGGGGTGGGGGTGGGTGGTGAGGTGTTGTGAGGAGGGGGTTAGGGTTGGGGTGTGTGTTGGTGGGGGGTGTGGAAGAGGGGGAAGGGTGGGGTGGGAGGGGGTGGGGTATGTGGTGGTTGGAGGGTTTGTGGGAGGGGGGTTTGTGTGAGGGTTAAGGGGGGAGGAGGGTTGTTTTTGTGAATTAAGTTAAAAGGAGATAAGGTGAGTGATGGGTGTGTTTGTGGTTGGTGGGAATTTGTTGGGTTGGTAGGGTGGGGGGAGTTGGGTGTAGAGGGTGTGTGGTTTGGAGGTGGTTGAATGGAGAAATTATTTGTTTTTGGAAGTGGGTTTTGGTGTGGGTGTTTTGGTGGGTGGTGAGGGTGGTGGGTGAAGGGGGGGGGATGTGGTGTGTTTGTGGGGTAGGGGGGGATAGTGTGGGTGTGTTGATGGTTTGTTTGGAGGTTGTTTTGTTGTTGAATTGGGTGTGGTGTTTGTGTGGTTGGGGTAGGAATAGAGGGTTTACTCTCGCCTCTTTGCAAATATAACGGTAAGGACCACATACTCAACCAGCGGGTAAAATAAATTGCCCGCTCCATTTTTTTCTTTGCATGGTTTTTCTCGTAAAAGAAAACTGGGAGGAGTGGAGACTGGCCGAACAGAAGGAAAAATCCAGGTAGGAAGCAGCTAAATATTCCAGGAAGGTGCTCCATTACTTTTTTCCTACAGCCTGAATATATAATACAGAAAGGTACGCAATTCTTTTTTATCATTCCAAGTAGTTTTTTTTTAAATCTAGTTTATAAACACTCCATTTCATACTGGAAAATAGATAGTGCTTTTCTTTTTATTTTTTATTTATGAATCAAAAAAGAACAAAATCAATTTTCAAAAAAAAAGTATAACAAATTAATTATTATCAAACACATGTTAAAAACTACTCTTTAGAAACAATATATTGTTGTTATTATATGGCTTCGATGAGGGTTTAAAAGAGTTTTTCAAATTTTCAAAGGGAAAACTTCTTTAGGCAATTTATTTGTGGAGAATGAATTAGATTGAGCCGTCAGATCTCAGAGGTGTAACGCTCGGGTTAAGTCGGCTGAAGTCGACTAATTGAAGTGTTTTTTTGGCATATTGATTAAAATATCTCAAAAACAAAAAATCGGAATTGCATATTATTAACGAGAGAAGTGTTTATAATTTCATCCTGTTTGTAATGAGCTATTATTCAATATTATATCTTTAGGCGACACCATGTTATATAGGCCTAATGAAAAAAAATAGTGTAAAACACGCAATGATAACGATTTTTTGGAAGAAATGGATTAAAATATCTCAGAAACTAAAAATCAGACCTGTATACTGTAAGCGAGGGAAAAGTTCAGCATTTCGTCCTCTTTAGAATTTCACTTCTATCCTGTGGTCTAAAGCAAACACCTTAATTCTTTGCTTTTTTCTTCGTTTTTTTTTTTTTTGCACCTATATGTTGATAGTCTAAAAATGAGATGACGATACAAGAAACAGTGGTATATCAGACATGCAGACGTACAGTGCCTATTATTCTTGATTCCATTAATGTATTTGTTTAAGGAAGGATAGCTCCTTTTTAATTTCCGCCTCATATTCTGGAGTATGTCACCTATATGTTATCAAACTGTGTGTTTCTTCGTTTAAATAGGAATATAATCTTTGGTAGAGAGTCGTTATGTGTAACTTAACTGTTGGCAGGTCTTTATTTAGAATTTAGTTAGTCAGGTATCAAGATGCATTTGTTATAAGACGCAATAATTTCAATTGAATGGTTATTTATATGTATTTATTTTTATATGGGTCTAAGTATATGTATTCATTTCCTATCTCAGTTTCAGCTCTGAAGAATTTTTTTTGATAAAAAACTTGGACAAATTTGTTTGTTAACGGTCTTCTGTTTCATTTTAACACACGAGCCTCATGCCATCCTTCGGTCTAAATTAAGCTCGAGGTATTAGATATTAACTGGACTACAGGCATTCCGAAATTCAGCTTTAAAAAACCAATATCCCTCAAATGAGTTCTTCCGTATATAAAAACCGAACAATACGACGAAAGTAAAGTATAATATCACAGCTTTGATTGACTCTTGAAAAACATTTGGAAATATCTTTCATTAACTAAGATTATTTCCTGGAGATGGAATCACAGACGGATTTATGGAGGGGGGGGGTCTTTCGGGCTGAAGTCCCTCCGAAGTGGTAAAATGTAACCATGTTTTATGGTAAAAATTTTTATAAAGTTATATCTTAAAGTATTAATGCTCGTTAAATTACATTAATAAGGACTTAAAGAATCACTTAAACACCATTTCATGTAGGTAGTTGGTATCTTTCTGTTTTTCCAAAGTAATTATCCTTATATATATATGAAAAAAAAAAAAGCTCCCGGGTTGAAGTCCCCCCAAAATTAAATCCTGAATCCACCAGTGGATGGAATGATCAACGCTCTGTACTGATAACCTCCACCTACCTTTAATGTTTAGTCAATACCAAATTTGTTGCACTAAGCATGGATTTGAACTGGGTTCGCTTAGCATAGGGGAAGCCAATGCACTCAACTCAATGGGCGAGCTCCCATCCCATACCTTTATGGATTAACTTAAATGTTACAATTAACATAATCATGCTTGGACCAACTAATGGCATGCTATATCCCACTTAACATCGAACCAAAATCTTCAATTTGGAGAGGATTGTCGACAGGAAATGGGGAATTTCAAGGTAAGGTTCACAGTCTTGGTAGAGATTTAGATACCTACTCTACGTCCAACGTGTGGTGTTCTGGAAACTTTAGATTACGTGGTAACGAGTTGCGCCACCTTTGGAGCGTTAGGGGAACGATGAAGATAGATCTGATTAATTATTTATATCTTATTTGTATATCACTAAGTTTATCATTTACCTCTATTCTTACAATTCACCATTGTCATTTTCAGTAGTCACTTACTTTCATTATATTTTGTTGTTAGTCATACCAAATATTCTTATTTTATTTAGTCTATAATATTTCTTCTTTTATCCTCTCTACATTCTTATCTATATATAATTTTAATTATATCTTAATCTCATATAATCTTTTTTATATTATTTACTTTATCATTTGAATATTTTTCTTATTTTTCTAGTTATATTTATTCTAGCTATATATATCTGAATTATTCAGAATAAAGTAGTTTTCTTATCATTCTTATCTCACTGTATCAGCAACATTTGAAAATTTAAAATTTTTATAATTGTAAACATTTGTAAATCATATTTATTATTATTAGCTTCCACCGACACACAGAGAGGCCGATAGAAGATTTATTTATTTATTTAGACAAAATTTATTTAAATTTATTATTATAAGTTACAAAAATAACTTTTTATTTGAAATCATGTATTTGTCTCACAAAACAATAATAAATTACGAAGAAAAAAGACATAATTACAATATCATGATCAAATGGTTTCGGTATTTGATCATACCTTCATCAGGCTAACTTAAGATGGTCCTGCTTGTCAAATGAGGACGAAAAAAAATATTATACAGACAATTTGTTTTTATTTAATTTAAATTTCAATCCTGTAATATCCATCAAGCCTCAATTAAAATAACTCCTAATTATAAAGAATAATTATTATAAGCCTCATCAAATATATGAAGAGAAGGATGGTTGGGGTGATCAGTCAAAATAAAAAATGGCAAAAATCAATAATATTTAAAGGAAGGAGATGGTCCTGGGTTGCGGTCATAAATAGGCTAAATAGTGGTAAAACTATTGATTTAAAATTATTGAAAGCCGAACTTCTTCAGGGATGTTTGGTCAGGTAGGAGTATCATTTAGAACCCATTCAGTTCAGTGAAACTCCTTCAGTTCTAAGTCTGGTCGAATCTGCAAAGTCGGGTCGAAACGTTTGCTTTCAATAAGATAGTTTTGCCACTATTTAGCCTATTTATGACCGCAACCCCGGACCATCTCCTTCCTTTATAATGCAACGGTCAACTATTAAATATTCAATAATAATATTTATATTTACATTTGCCAACGTTTCGCCCTGAAATTCAAGCCATCATCAGGGCTGGGAAGAACCAGATAACAATAGGTATGAATTATTAACATCATACTTAATTTCATGAATTAGTAACAATCATACCTATTGTTATCTGGTCCTTTTCTCAGCTTTAATGAAGGACTGAACTTCGTGTCGAAACGTCGGTAAATGTAAAAATAAATATTATTATTTATTTTTGCCATTTATTATTTTGACTGATCACACCAACCATACTTCTCTTCAATTATTTACTACAGTCAACCATCAACCCACAATTCTCAATAATTATTATATTAATTATCTGCATTTATAACTTAATATCTAAAAAGGAAATTAGTAGTATAAATAATTAATATTAAAAAAATTGTATAGTTTCGGTGGAATAGAATAATTTATTATTCCAGTTTATAGGATTGTTGGTAAATAAAGTGAATATGTGAGGGTTGTGGGTCCCAACGCCTGCCATATCGCTGGTTACAAAGCAGGAAGGCAGCTAAGCCATGCGGGCTTGGCATAGCCGCTGCCCCGTACGGATCCATTATCTCTCTCCGGACAATGGCCAGCCCATCGCGTTGAATAATTCCCCGCTTCGCTCTAATCACCGATTTGTGATCTGACAGCCGACGAGAATTATGTAAGTGAAATTTCCGAAACACTCGATAAAATACTAGTTCCAAATTTCCAATACTCATATCATTGATCTTAGCCCAAAATTCTAATAATCAAAACAATGATCACAAAACTACAGGCATGTAAGTCTTAATCTTGAAAAAAACAAAACAAATCCGGTGGAATGCGCGCATTACATAACTTTCACTTACCACCCTCTTCTTAGCAGAAATAAGTATTTTCAGACAAAGGAGAAGTGAAAGTAAAAATTATATACGCATTGTGAGTAATTTTATTTGTATAAGTAGCCTTATGTGTCTTATGTGTATTTTATATACATATATAAAACCTGTGCCACTACAACACATGAAGGGTCTTGGGTTCAGTACTATTTAGGGAAAGCACTGTTTCTAGGTCAACGGCTGTTCAAGGGGGATATGACCGAGATCACGCTCAACCGCCAGGTTTTCCCCCTTAAAAAATTATTTAATTAAGGGTACCTACTTTTTAAAGTCTGAGTGCGCCCCAGGAGGGTCTCCCGACTCAGGGTCGCCCCACGACCAATGAAACAGATAAATAAGTTTTCTGCCATGAGCCGGGGTTCGAATCTGGGACCTTTGCATGGAAGCTTAGTACCTTACCACTGAGCTACCCCACTCCCTATACATAGAAATATATATTAGGGACTCCGATAATATCATATAAATATACATATGCGGTTTTCATAAATGCTATTGTTTAATTAGTATTATTTAATATTTAATTGTATAGATTACACCGATATAAATATTAATATTTGTAGCCTTATATATACAATAAATTATTTATATATGTTACACAATACGTAATGATGTTGTCAACTATAAACAAACACAGAGATCAAT